TGGCCTTCTAATATGTAGATGCATACTCCGTAGTGTGGTCGGTTGCATCTTTTCACATGAATCTTTTTAATTGAAGTTGGCAGTTTTGCACGCGTCAGTATCTTTTTTAGTGATTTTGTTTGTCATTTGCTTTTTATAACGATTATTCATAATACTAATAGGTGGGTACCTCAGTTTCAGAAATTATTTGCACTTTCGTATCCATGCCTATCGATTTGACAATTTTATTTGCATACTTGTGTACCAGCATCGATGATCTAACACTGAACTGGAATCCAGCGAAGTAGGTGTCGATGATTGGTACATGCGTCGCAGCCACCAGGTCAACGCCCTTCTGAAACCGTCTTTTGATCCGGCGATTTTGTTGATATGTCTGCATGGATGCCGTTCACATAAGCCAAACTGGAGCGAAATGCAGAGGAACATCTTCGTAAACGTCACACGAACAATTCATCCTTTACTGCCAGCTAGGTTTCTTTTTTCATGTTTGCCAAATCAACCACGCGAGATTACATCAGCAATGAAGGTAACAGACAGATTCAGTCTGGAAAACTTGGCAGAACATTTCAAACCTCATAACCTTTCCTTCTCCTGTTTCAGTAACAAATCCAAAAGATCTGACAAAACAACTGTTCTAGAAGAGGACTTACAATCAGTGGTTAACTGGAAGCAAGGCATGACTTGTAAATATTAACTCCCCCCCACAAAAAAAAACAACCACAAAGGTATTTTTCTTCGTGTCATCAGCATGGATAAATGCTAAGCTCCAAGAGAGCAACACACTATGCATTGTTGATCTCACGTTTTCTACTTTCATGAAATGGAGCGACTCTATCGAATCATTTGCTTCGTCTACTGCGAGGACAGTTGGTTCCCGGTGTCGTGAGACAATATGTTTTAACTCAGAATCCATCTTGCTCATTTATAAATCTACCATTCGTCCGTGCATTGAATACTATTGCCATATCTGATCTGGTGCTTTTGCTAGACATTTAGAGATTCTTGACAAATTCAAAGTAGGATCTCTAATGTAATCGATCCGGACGAGGCATCTCAAATTCAGTCACTTTCTCACCGACGTGACGTGGTTTCGTCTGTCTTTTCTACCAATATTTTCATGGTAATTACACTGATGAGCTTTTTCCCTGTTTCCCCGATTATATGAATTTAAGCATGCTACTAGATTGCCAACTAGGTCTGACCGTTTTACTGTTAAAATAGTTAAATGCAACCACGACTTCTTCTTTAACGGTTTCCTTTCTCGCACTTCCCACCTGTAGAACTCTTTTCCATTTTATTTTTACCTCCCTCATAAGTACAATCTTCAAAAATTTAAATACAATGTCAATTGCCATCTTCTTTCCTTCTGGAAGCCTGTCCATTTTTTCCTTACCTCAATTCCCCTATCATTCTCTTTCATTTTCACGCTATTTAAGCCCATGCGTAGTAGTGGCATTAAAAACGTCGCTAATTGGACCATGAAAAACTAGAAAAATATGGCTTGCTCCAAAAATACATGGTTATATTTGTTCGAGGCTGATACTAGGGTACGTTTGTAGTGCGGTTTTTATGAGGTCAGTTGCATGTGTTGGCAAAAAGCAGTGTAGGCGGGTGGAGATTCCATAATGGGTAGAGTTTCTGTCGCATTATTGAAGCTCGCTGCATTGCCTGAATTATTTATCGACTCATGACTGCAACGTTACACTGCTTGGTAACAATTTTCACCAATTTATGGAATATACGTACCTTACAAACGATTGTTTATTCCATCAGTGTCATCATGTCATTGGATACAATTTACCTGGAAATAGTTTGAGGATCCTTCTTAATATTTCCAGGCTTTACTGAACTTTAACGGGGAGTTTAATTAGAATGCAAGATACTGCTCCTTGGATAACAGGTAGCTGTCGACAGCTAACAAAACGACATAGTTTAACCTCCATGCTGTCTTTCGACCAGTTGTAGAATCGATGCAAGTCGGAATTTTGCAATTTGAAGGATTAGAGGCAGTACTACACGAGACTAGAAAACTAACAAATGACGTTTGGAACATTTATAATAATTCTGAATATATTCGATATTAGTTATACGCTTAAATAAACATCTGGTATTACTTATAGATTTATAATAACATCCCGTAATAATTATAGGTTTATAGAAAGAGCTGGTGTTAATTATAAGTTTATAAAAACGAACAGCATTAATTATGTTTATAAAATATACGGTATTAAATATAAGTTTATAGAAACATCTGACATTAATTATAGGGTTATAGAAATATCAAATATTACTTATAGATTTATAAAAAAGTCAGGTATTAATAAAAACAAAATCGGTATTAATTATCTGCTGATAAAAAAATCAGCATTTATTTTAGATTAGTAAAAAAAATCCTGTAATTAATCGGGTACAGGACTACTCAATACCGCCGATTCAGGACTGAAACAACTCCACACCAGAAGGACAACTTTTTTTTATAACCGAATAAATGTAATTAATTAATTATTAAAACATTAATTAGTGAAAAACGCTCTTCCAATAAGGCGTTTTCTAAAGGCATTACGTAAAATATAAACTAGTCTTTTTGTTTTTCATTATTTTTAATAAATTAAATCATAAAGAAATTTATTTTTAATAAAGTAAATCGAAATATAAAAAAAAGAAGTAGTTTTTTTGTTTTTAATAAAGTAAATCGTAATGTAAATTTAAATTTTAATTAAGTAAATAGATATTCTAAAATACTTTTATAAAATATTTTTATTAAAATAATATTCTAAAATATTTTTGTAAAAATATTTTTATAAAAATTATTTGATGACAATTAAATTTGATTATGCAAAAATTATTTAAATTTTGTTTATTTGATAATAGTTGTCAACCAAATATTTTCAATAATTCACAAATTAAATGTTATAATATATATATATATATATATATATATATATATATATATATATATATATAATATTTTAGAATTTCGATTTACTTTATTAGAAATTAAATTACATTACGATTTACTTTATTAAAACAATTAAAAAGAAAATCTGCTTCATTTTGTTTTGCATTTTTCGATTTATTAAAAAATAACTAAAAATCTGTTTTATTCAATCATTTTTATATGTCTATTTACTTTATTTAAAAATAATTTTCTTCACGATTTACTTTATTAAAAATAATTATAAAAATATTCATTAACTAAGTCTTTAATCCTTAAAAAAAATGTTTTTTTTCTGGTGCTGAGTTGTTTCCGTCCTCATTTGTCTCGGCGCTCCGTCGGCGATGTTCAGTCGATGGCATTGAGTTGTCCCTTCCTATAAAAAATCATTTTCTATTAATTATAGGTTTATTACTGAATTCAGTATCAATAATATTTTTATAAAAATTTCGATATTAACAGCAGGTTTATAGAATAAGTTCTTTTATTTTGTATTAATTTTAGTTTTCTTTTACATCAGTATTAATAATCGGTTTCTAAAAAGCCAGCATTACTTTCAGGTTTATAAAAAACTTGGGATTAATTATACGTTTATAAAAAGTACTTCTTAATTATCCGTTATGAATTATAAGTTTATAACTATAAATTACTCGAGTTGTTGCTTTAAATATCTCGAAGATGTTTAACATGTGTTTGGCGTGCTGTTTTTCTTCGCAATTTATGGCGATTCTCGTTGCATTTTTGATGTGATTCAATCTTTCATATCAAATCGGGAAATGAGAGTTGTCTTCAACGGCCACTCTTCTAGATCTTTTTGCATTAATACCAGAGTATCCTAGCGTTCTATCCTTACAACTACGCTGTTCCTCATTTTCATCAACAGCATTCCCGATAACATCAGTTCTCAATTCGCTATCTATATTTATAACCTATTTACTCCTGTCTTAATGGTAAGTCTGATCGGTCTATATAAGTCTACCATTCGTCAATGCAGTGAACAATTCTGTCACATCTAGTCCGGTGTTTTTGTTATGTACTTAGAGATTCTTCGGAAAACAGAGAGAATAACGCACAATGTTACTGGTCTTGGCATGGCATCTCGACAATTTTCGTATCCTCTTTGGTACCTAAATCTTATGAATTTGAGAGTGCTACAACATTAGCAGCAAGGTCTCTTTATTCTACAGATGAAATAGGTAGATGCAATTTTAAGATCTATGCTAACAATTTCTACTTTCGCAATTATTTCTTATGGAATACTCTTCCGACTTCTTCCTTTCCAGTCAATTTGGGCTCAAATAATTTAAATGAAATGCCAAACGTTATATTCTGTTTTCTTAATTCCTGTTCTTCCATCTTTCTCCATTCTTAATATTTTAATCATATTCTCTCGCACTGAACAAACCCTTGCGTTTTAGTGGATGTTAATGGTGAAACAAATCTGGAATATTCTTCTGAATTATGGTAAAAATAAATTATGGTTTGCAAAGTGTTATTTCCTACTTAACGCGAAATTGGCTTATGTTCTTAAGAAAAGATCGAATAAAACATTTCTCTATATACAAAAAAACCCAAAGAACTGCATAAAACACAAATCTGCTATGAAGCTACGATGTTATCAGGAGGTAATTATCATCGGAACATGGATTTAAAGAATGAAACATTATGGTAAATCGTCATGAATAATGTTTAGATAAAGACAGCAAGTAGACGCATGTTGTGTGGATGTCATCAACATAGAAAACTGTTTCCTGGTTGTCGTCTGCCAAAATCAGCGCTATTGACGCTCGTAGCATTATAGACAGGCGTCGTCCTTTGTTGTCTTCCCATTTGATTTCATATACCGGGAGCGGGCAAAGCTAATGTAATTAAGTGAATCAGGTTGAAAATAAAATAAAAAAAAGGATGACTGATTAGATGTTGCATTATATTCCTTATTTGAGTTAATCAATCTTCCTCTCTGTCCAACTTTAAATCTATTTTTTCTCAACACGTTCTTCTTTTTTCTCTCTCTTTCATCCAGTCTCTCTATCTCTCTCTACTTTAGGCTGTTCTTCATTATCATATGTCTATATTTCTATTTCGGTTCATTCTTTTTATGCTCACTTTCCTGTCTCAGGCATATACTTATATCGGTCTCTTCATATCTATCTATCTATCTATCTATCTATCTATCTATCAGTTTCTTCATATCTATCTATTTCAGTGGATTTTTCACTTTATCTCAGTTCATTTTTCCTTATTTTCTTTTTCTATTTAATAAAAGACAAAATGTCATATCAGCAGTTCTATTGACAAAAGCATCTGTGTCTGATTTCATGTGAGAAACGTGCATATTTTTCTGTTGATTCCCCAAATCGACCTCCTTTCATTCTTTTATTCTTTTCTTTTACATTCCTTTGTTCTTGTCTTCTTTTTCCTTTCTTCATTCAAATCTTTATTTCGTGCATTTTGTACTTTGTTCACATTATTATTTTCTCATTTATCTCATTCATTTATTTTTCTATCGCTTTTAAAATGTTCTTTTTTTCTTATACTTTTTCATTCCTAGGTTTCCTTCAATCGTTTCTTCGTCTATTTATGCTTCATTCGTTGATCTGACTTTTTCATCGTCCATTCCTTTTTTTCTTCAATTATTCGTTCATTCTTCTGTAATTACTATTGACTTTTCTTTCTTTCTTTCTTTCTTTCTTTCTTTCTTTCTTTCTTTCTTTCTTTCTTTCTTTCTTTCAAGTTATTTTCTTCTTTATTATTTCTTTTGCCCTTTCTTTTTGTTCTGGTTTCTTTGTAAGGTTCCTGTTAATTTTCTCTTTTTTCTAGTTTTCGTTTCGTTTACATATTTCTGTTGGTTTCGGTGTATTCTCACCTTAAACTTTGACGGTATTTGGGAACTAATCCGAAACCAATCTTTGAAAGACGCTGCAATCGTTTTCGTGAAATCGTGATTCCTGCAAAGAGAATCCTTTCATATAGTCCTTTAATGGATTTCACTGTCATTCTGTGTGACATTGTTATTATTCTTGTACACGCAAATTCCATAGATCCACTGATCAGGAGATGAATCCAACTTCATCTTTTGGAAATGAAACCTCAATATGAAACATTTTCATAATTTTGGCCAAAAATGCATTCATTGTAAAAAAAAAAAAATACGTATAATCTTATAAAAAAAACAAGATTTATCATTTAAAAAAAAACGTTGACAGATATTGTCAGAAATTCTGAGTCTGTTATAAAATGATTTGTTAGTATTGATTTCCACCTTTTAATTGATTTATTTCTTAATGTTAGGCCTGTTTCAGATATCCGCTCTATATCTTCTAGATTTCTAGCATTTACGAAAAGAAGTATTGATTCGGTCTGCAATGGTTTGTTATACCGAATTAAATTATTTCTCTTATTTTATTCTTGATCCATTTCATTCATTTTTATTTCGCTTTTATCATTTTTTCATTCTTTTGGATATGTCTTTCTTTCGTTGTCCCCTTCAATCACTTTTTTCATGCTTTCTTTTTTCTTTGATTCCTTACCTTTTCTTGTTCATTCGTTTAATCCTTCATTCGACCGTCATCTTATTCTGTCTTTCATTTCTTTTGTAATTCTTTCTTTCATTCTTTCTTTCTTTCCTTCTTTCTTTAATTCGTTCTTTCTTTCCTTCTTTCTTTAATTCGTTCTTTCTCTCCTTCTTTCTTTCATTCGTTCTTTCTTTATTTCGTTAATACATTTTTTCTTTCTTTCAATATTTCGTTTTCTTTCTCTTTTAGTTCATTTTTCTACTTTATTTATATATTTTCTACTTTTATTTTTATCATTTTATTCTGTTCTTCATTTCTTCTTTCGTTCGATGTTTTTCATTTCGTTCTTTCTTTCATTTTTCTCTTTCACTTTCACTTCATTTTTTCTACTTCATTTGAACATTTTATCCATCATTTCTTTCCCAATGGTCTCTTCGCGAGAATAATACAAAAACTTATAATAAAATAGAAATTGTCCAAAGTCATAATAGCACAATTATTCAGAGCAAATTGACAATATACTCTGGGAATAACTTAATTTTATAATCTATTGTCAGGGAAAAATATTGGCTTGATTTTTAAAGGAAAAGATTTATAACAGTTACGTTCAAGCATGCACCCATTTCGCAATTCGCGCGCACACCTACATGCACACATGTACACAAACACGTACACACACATGCACACACACACTCAGACATATCTTTGTTAAGACGGATCGAGTACGTCTAAATTCACCTTCATCCCTGTCGTGCGCCAATGGCTTAAGGTTAAATTTCCGACTGATACCAAATTATACAGCAAAATATCCAAAATAGGGCATCGTCTATTCCAAACCATCATGCCAGTCTATTTATGCCTAGACTGACTGTCTCAGAATCAGTGGTTTTGAATTTAGTTTAGATAGCAGTCTGGGAGAAGGTACAGGCCTACTGAAAGGGCGCCTCGTTAAGATAAGGAGTCTTGGCTGATGACAAGGTGAGGGCGTGAGGTATCTCTGTAATGAGAGATGGGCCGGGATATTTATGACCAAAACCTTTAGTTGTATGTAAATGAATTTAGGTCCTTGCATATATGTTTTAATAGGAATGACAATTATATTATTAAGTAGGGGGGGATTTAAAGACAAAAGAATTTAAAGTTAAAATAAATTATCGAAACAATAGATTAACCAAAATCTGTAATTAAGAGCGAAACACTCAATGGAAAAGATAATGATGTACAACACACACACACACACACACACACACACACACATATATATATATATATATATATATATATATATATATATCCACATACATACATACATACTTACATACACATAGATATATGTACATATACACACCTATATACAGTGTTTCTGTGTGTGTCTGTGTTGGAGGACGTTATATCTGGTTTTATTATTCAAATCAATGTTTTCACAAATTTCACTATTTCACAATTTGGAATCAACAGTCAATATATATATATATGTGTGTGTGTGTGTGCGTGTGTGCATCAGTGCGTTAATAATTTCAACCGATCACGGAGATAAAGGCCCCTAAGTTACAAGATATTCCTGAGAGTGAAAGAATAAAAAGAAATTTATTATTAAGGAGAGTAAACAATAACAGAAGATGAATCTAGAAGACTGTAGAAAGCAAATAACATTGCATTTACACATCTGAAGATCAAATTTTGCTGGAAAAAAGAACCTGGAAGAGAGTTCTACAGGCGTGAAATACGAAAAAAGAAACTGTTAGGTAAGAAATTACGGTTGCCTCAAGTCAATTCAACACTAGAATGAAAGGACCATTTTGCCAAGCTAGTAATGTGTTTAAATTCATGAAACCTTTGTAGAATAGAGCAAAGTTCATCAGAACACTTAACACGGAAATATGTTAAATAAAAATTTCTAGAAGGAATTTATATTAAACTGACATATTTGTATCCTTTTAAATGTTATTTTTAGTGGATACTCGTTTTTGAGTAGACGCTGTGTTTATTAAAGAGTATATATTATCACCTACCGGAAGAAATATTATAGAAATCCTATTAAAGCAAAATGTGCGGCCTTCTGCAAGAAACTAAAGTTTCTTCATATCTGCGCATACTTTCATGTCCAAACAAAAACAAAACTGATTTTGAATACGAAACTATCTGAAAATATGCAGAAACTTCGAGCGGTCTACGACGGGAGAAATTTTGCTTGAAAGCATGAAATTGGCTTCGCTTGACAGTCTTTTTCTTCGTTATTCATAATATCTGTTTCGATTAGAGATAATTGCAGTAACATATTTGGTCGTGTGGGTTATGATTAAACAACTCAGGCGTCGTTCATACTATAGCATATAAATATATGTGTTTGTGTGTATGTGCGTTTGTAATATTATATTTTCTGTTTTTTTTAGTCCGTGATACATCTATATCAACATTAAAACGAGAAAACCTAGTTGCCAATATAGTACTACAATTAAATTCATGCTGTAGCGCCAGCTCAGAAATTTAAGCATGCTACTTGATTGGCAACTAGGTCTCATCGTAAGATTTAACCGTAAGTTCTGTAGTAATATTTTCTTGACTCGCTGTACAGGCATATTTAACTATCTTCCCTTACCACCGATGATCTTCCATAATTTAATTTCAAAATCAATTGCCATTTTCTGTTTTCTTGATTCATATGCTTTTATTTTTCTTTCTCCTCTCTTAAATTTCCACATTGTCATAAACCATCTTGTGTCTTAGTGGCATTATCGCCTTACTTCGTTGTGAAGTGATTTCAAAATAACGCCTAAATATTTCTGTACGAAATATATAACATGAGGAGAAAAAAAAGATAGCATAAAATCATTAATTGACAGCAATGTTAGAAATTGAGTTAAAATTGAACACAAACAATTTATAATTTTTAAACATTGATTAAAATAATAAGAATAAAATATATGAATATTTTAAAAATATCGAAAAAAGAGATTTGCAGAACAAAATATGAAAGTCCAGAAATGCCAGATAGATAGAAACACCATTGAAATAAATGTAAGTAGCTGACGAGACGAATATTAAAAGAAATGTCGAAGGAAAAGAAAGTAATAAAACTATTAGATAGGCTAGATAGAAATTGGGCCCTTCATAGATATAATCAAGAATTCTTACTTAGACGACAATAGTCCTGGGTATGACGATAAACTACATCCGGCAGCAAGACAACTGATCGGAAGATTGGCGGTTTTGAGGAGAGTGGAACCACCTCTTTATTGCTGTTGGTTGTTCCCACGTTCACCCTGACCCGGGGTGGCAGCATCTTTTAGGTTCCCTGCAATGGATAAATAGTAAACCCACAAACAAAAGCAAAACACTATGAAAGTATAAAAATATATTGTTATAATATATACATTTTTATATACAAAAGGAACCAATAATATATATTTATAGTATTATTACCAACAATACAATATTAAAGCAAAATGATCAACAATAGATTATATATTAAGATATACTGTCCATACATTTTATAGTAGAATGATCAACAATACATTTTATAAGTAGTTGAAGGTATACACTTACGTTCAAAATATAACTAGTTGAAGCCATAAAATTGTGTTCATATATGTAGATATAACCCAGAGAGGTGACGATAGGCCGATAAAAGAAATCAACAAATCAACAAATCAACAAACTTAAACGGCAAAAAATCAAAATGGCGTTGATATTTTAAGTCCTATATAGTCAGCATTATAGATATCGTCAGATTTGATTATGAAGTGAAAGCTTTTGAGATATTAAGAAAGATCGTAAAAGGAAAAATGAAAGAAAGGTTAAGTCCATTAACTTCAAGGCATAGAAAGAAAAATAAAAGAAAAAAAATTGAAAAGCTAAATATAAGATGGAAATCAAAGAAGAAAATAAAAATTGCAGAGAAAATGAAAAATAAGAGATAAATGAACCTTAGGAACGTAGAAGATGAAGAAAGATCAAAGTAATAAAGATTGAGTTGTTTTTTACGGTTTATCATCCTTTTGCAGAATATTTAAAGCTGGAAGATACATTTAAATGGTAAGAATGTTTTTAAGATAATAATTATTTACTGACACAAGTCCAACTAATTCTTTACTGATGCATGTCCTGCTATTTAACCCATAGCCAGAGTGGGAGAGAAAAATGAAATAATCCCTTTCTCAAGGGTATTTACACGTAAGTAAATATAACGGGCCCGACTGGAATTGGAAACTGGCTCGCTGTTATCCATTACACTACCCGCACATCCAAGGTAACAGCGCCTTGTATTTCCCAGCGGTCACTCATCCAGGAACTGACCAATCACAAATTTGCTTAACTTCAGTGATCGCGCCTGAATGGGATATGACCGTAAGCAGGGAGAAAGAAAGAGAATGCCAGAAAGTTAAAATATAAAGAAACCAAACGGAATGTGCTGACCAACTTTAGAGAGT